AATTATTAAACTATTCTTATCTCAAACCACAGCCTTTCTGACCTTTTTCCTTTGATTCTCTCCCCCATACCACTGGGGAGGTGAGTGAGCAGCTGCATGGTGCTTAGTTGCTGTCTGGGGTTAAACCGCAATGACCGGTACCCCAAAGTCCCTCTTACTTCCCAATCCCTTCATTCCCCAGCCTGTACTGACACCGGGCTGGGGGTTGCCCTGACCCACTACAGGACCTGGCAGTTTTGAACCTCATGAAGTTCACAGGGGCTCACTTCTGGAGCGTGTCCAGGTCCCTCTGGATGGCATCCCTTCCCTCAGGCACATCAACTGCACCACTCAGTTTGGGGTCATCTGCAAATCTGCTGAGGGTGCACTCAATCCCACTGTCTGTGTCATTATTAGACAGTACTGGTCTCAGTATGGACCCCTGAGGTCAACATCAGTTTTTAAATCCACCTCTGTGATTTTGGGGTCCAAAAAAATATCGGTGCTATAGGGATTATATTTGACAATGTCCATTGCTCTCCACCATCATCAGATGCAGCTGCGACCAAGCAAATTGTTAGATCTTACTGTAAAGGCATACAATATTCAGTAATTTACATTAGAGTGATTATCAACTGGAAACATAAGTTGCTTTTGCTGATTGTTTATCTAATTTGTCAGGACCTACTAGACCACTTTTGCTTCCAGGCCAAGTGTTTATGTATCAGAATGCAGAAGGTTTTTTCATAGTAATAACACTAACATTGTGGCATGACACATGTAAAATGAGCTAAAGTATATCTCAGCTTTGAACGTCTTTGTAAGCAACAAACTGATCTTCAGCAAGGTAAACACACTGACAAAATTATCAAAAACCCCAATCCCTCATATCATAATTCCTGTCATGTCAGACAAAAGAAAACTGTTCAAATGCCTTTGTTTTGTTGGGGTTTTTTTCCTTGAAAAAAACTGTTTCAAATGAGTTTAACTTTGAAGGAAATTAAAACCACCATGGAATAATCACTGTTTGAAACCTGTGCAGGTAAACTGCCTACCATTTTTCCAAAGAGAGAAGAAAGGATTAATACTCGGCAGCTATTTTAAAAACAACAGATTTTGTTCTGAAGTTATTTTCTAGGCAAACTGAAATTCCAGATGTAATATAATCAGGAGACTGCATTAGGAAAATGTAGTCAGGCTATTAAATAGAATTACTTTATGACAATAACCCTACAGCACCACATAAGAAAACAGCATTATTGCGATCATTGCCTTGGCATGATAAGGCAAATGAATTAATATCATAAGATAGAGGAAAAAATCCCATCTAATCTATGAGTAAACAACACAATCACTTGTTTAGGAAGAACTGTATTTTATGAAAAGTATTGCCTTCATGTAATTAACAACACACATTACTAAGCAACGGTGTAAATAAGAATTAAAAGGAAGAAGCACGTCACAGGATACGGTATTTAAAGAAACATTTTGAGGATTTGCAGCTGCTTACGAAGCAAACTGTGTAGATCTTCAGAACACGATTTTCCTACCATTCTAGCCTGCAGGCCAAGTTATGTATGCAGTACATAACTCCCACTGTTTTCAATGAAATTAAAACGTCAATAATTTAAAAAAATATTTTAAATCTATATAATGCAAACAGTTATTTGTCATATAATTCACTTATAAGGCATAAAAACATACTGTGTCAGCCTGAAATCTGTCTGATTTGTACAGTTAGATTATAAATTAGCTTTTGGTTTACTGAATCCTATTACTTTATCAGAATAAAGTTTACTAATCTCTTGCTTAGTAAATCCGTATTCTAGAAGTATCTCTTCTGTGTGTTCTCCTATAAAAGGATCTCGTTTAGACGATGGAACAGCAGGGGTCCTTGACAGAAGAGGAGCAGGTCTAGGACTTATCTCTTCCTGATCATTTTTGATAAAAGAACTTCTTTGTTTGTTATGCTGATGTGAGGCAACATCATCAAAGGATAAAACAGGGGTCACACAGGCGTCGGTACCATCAAATATGCTGCACCACTCAGCTTGGGTCTTCTGTGCAAATATGGATGCAAATTTTTTCTTCATTTCAGGCCAGTCAGAGAAACTCAACTGACTGGGCAGTTTATCGGAATCTAGCCCAAGACCTGGAAGGAGAAAAGCAAAGTTTAACTGCAGTGTAGCTTAGATAAAGGGCTGTCCACAACTGAATGTGCTCCTCGAGACGCGAGCATTCTGCAGGCAGTCCAACGCCGCAGAGCGCAATAACTAGAAGTCAATTCAAAGTTTATTGTGATATCTGTGATTGAGGGGAGGGAGCAGGAGAATAAAATGTTCTATTAATTACTTGCAATTAGACTAAACCGCATCCGCTACAGCCTTTTAACTAAGCACATACAATAAACACTCATTTGCATAAACACTTCATAAAAGCAGCAGCTGCCTAGAGATAACATTTTGTCCTGAGAATATTTTCTATCATATGTGTTGTATTCTCTAGCTGGCAGTAGCAACACAGAAGTCTGCTGACTGGGTCTTGGACTGCAGCAATATGCTTACCTCACAGAAGCCACACATCTGCCAGAGCTGGACATCCAGCAGGCCACAGTGTGTCCAGCACAACTGGGTTATTTCTCTGCCAGAGAGGGGAAGATGGTGAGGATGGATACACCCAGACTCGGTGTGTCAGCTGCAGGCTAACTGACCTGAATCACTGAGTCACAGAATGGTTTGGGTTGGAAGGGACCTTAAAGATCACCCAGTTCCAACCCCCCTGCCATGGGCAGGGACACCTTGCACTAGGTCAGGTTGCTCCAAGCCTCATCCAGCCTGGCCTTCAACACTTCCAGGGATGGGGCATCCACAGTTTCTCTGGGCAACCTCTTCCAGTGCCTCACCACCCTCTGCGGGAAGAATTTCTTCCTGATATCTAATCTAAATCTCCCCGCTTTCAATTTAAACCTGTTAGCCCTTGTCCTGTCACTACAGGCCCTTGTAAAAAGTCCTGTTTCTCAACCCCTCAGTCCAAACAGACTCCAGCATTGTCTGTTGCTCTCCTCTCTTTAGCACACTTCCCAGCCTCCAGCTCTCCACTGCTGCTCTTTTGGAAAAGTGAATCCCATAGCCCTTACTAACTCCTTAAGAACTCTGCTTCCCAAAGACCAGCCACATGGACCACCTAGGTATGCAGTACACGCATCCCTTCTGAGACACAAGAGCAGAAGACGGACACACAGGCTTTGTACTGGAAATTTCCTGAACTAGGCAAGTCCTAGGTCCTTCCCGTAACTAAGCACCACCTTCCCTCTCACAGGGAGTTTACGTCTCTCATGTGCAGCCAGTTCCCCATCTCTGTTTCTGCTCTCGTGGATCCTGCTCTCTGCACTCCTTACCCTTCCATTCTCCTGCTTAAAGGATATCCAAAAATTGTTATCACTTCTGCAGGGTTTATCTCAAAACAGACATAAGAAACAAGGCAATCAAACCACCCTGTCAACATGGTGACAGTACAGAGTCTATGACATCAAACAGAAATCAGCAGTGGTATATTGAAGGCTGTCCAAACAGTCACATCCTGAAATTCAGGAGCATGAACACAGCAGGAAAAAAAAATCAGAAAAAAGCAGGGATCAGAAAGAAGTTAATTTGATAAATTAGAAAGACTAGAGAACAGCTACCTAATACTTCACAAACAACAAAAAAAGGGAGCTGCTTAGAAAACAACAGCTCTGTGTAAAAGGCAGTGAAAACATAGGGTTCTGCAAACAATTTTGAGCGTTCTTTCTTGTATTTTTGGACATCTGGTATCAGACTGATGATTTGACTTGCAACAGGCTTGGCTACTAGGTGCGGGTGTGCAGGTAGAACATACACAGAATCCTTCTGATCTTTAGCTCTAAATAGGCATAAAAAATGTTCTGCATCCTCTATTTCCACAGCTCCCTTATCATCGAGAGGGGGAGACATAGCTACTGAAACATCCAGGGAATAATGTCCATTCGTCTGTTCTTTAAGTTCTTTCTTGCTGCTCATAATCTCTACTATATGCACTTCTTGGGGCTCACAGGTTCTCCCAAGATACCATAATATTTAGGAATTTCACTGTTGATCACAAGGTTCTTAAATAGTAGCTTTGAAAATGAGCACGTGCTTTGAAATCTTGGTATTGCAAAGGAAAACACAGAGAAGTTGCCAGTCTCCAGACCCAGAAATACAGCCTTGCAGTTGCTCACATTCAGAAGAAAATCAACACAGTGAAAGACAGAATAAGCGTTTTCACGTCTTATTGGAGATCCCTACGGATATCAGAATAAGTATTACCACAAGGTAAACATCAGTCCCTACTGAGTTACCAAGTCATTTTCACCTAAAATCACCAAACTTACCATTGAATCTTCGTAACTGTTCATATTATCCCGAAAAAAAAAAAGGTCAGATGAAGATTACTCATAATGGTTGAGCATCCATAATTAAATAGAACCTAACAATGCTCTCAAAATTGATTTGATTATTAATCTTCAAGGTATAATACTAAAGATGAACTGTGCTATACACTTCGGAACTAGGAGGTGAGGAGAATTCGCCTTCCACAGTGAGTAAAGCTAAGTAACAACACACTGTCTGAGATTCTGCCTCAAAGCATGAAATCTTGTCAGTCGGAAACATTGTTTCATAAGTATTTACTTGCTTATTAATTATGGTTTGGGTTCTAGCAGCCAGTCGAACAGGAACAGAGCTCTACCGTTCTCCCATTACACAATTACATCTGAAGACCATGCCAGATGGAAAGTCGGCTGAACCACACTGCTCATGCTCTAGCAAAACAGAACAATATGCAGGACCTGGAATTTTATCTTACATGCTCATTTTCCGTTGACCACTGAAGACTTCAACTTTAAAAAGCCTGAACCAAGCACTACCGCTTCTCGTTTTCCAGCCTGTGCTAACCGTCTGTGGTGCCGAGGAACAGAATCACAGCAGGAGCGACTGAGTCAACAGGGAAACAATTACACAGCACAGCGTTGTTTGGGATACCACAGGATGACAGATTTTGCGCAACGTAATCAAGAGCACAGTATCTTTTACACAGAGTATCTGGTAAAGCAATCTCAACTTGTTTCCAAGTTATTTTGTTCAAATTTTCATCTAGGGATTCTTGTTTAGAGAAGCCCGTAGCCTACCCCAGTGCTGCTCTGAAATAACGATTTTTGAAAAAAGAAAAACTACACCTCCTTACAGTGATACAGCTTTAGAACAGAATAGAATAGAACCTTTAAATGCTACAGCGCTACTGACATATATCTGCACGCCACTCATTAATGCCACAAAGCGAGATCTCTGTTTCTACAGAACTACTTCGACAGACCACAGTAACATCGGGCACCTATTTCAAGAGAGAGAAAACAGCAGAACTCATTAGGTCAATCAGTGAAGTTGCTTCAGTATGTTGGAAATAACCAGATTCTTGTAGTACTTCAGCCACACTAATCTGAAATACTGTTTAGGATCCTTAGCAGAGCTTTGTTCAGGATTTTCTTGTTTTAACTTGCTGGCAGTCTTCTCAAAACTGTATGCTCATAGCACAGTAATTCTGAAATTAGGTTTTCACAACATGACTGAATGGAACCATCTAGCATGGGAATCCCTTTTTTTTTTTTTTCTCCCAAACTACATCCATACAGCGTGTGCCACTGTTCTCTCTCTAAATGTACTTCATTCTCACTCTGAGAGGGAATTGAATTTTAGAATGTTCTAATACAGTAGTGAATTTTCACTGAAGTAACTATCTTAATTCTTTTTTTTCTGCTCAAAGTTTCTGAAACAAAACCATTTTTTAGAAAATGACAGTTCAGCAAAAGGTTGATTAGGCCCAGAGTACTACCAGAGCATCACTGCAATGCATCCATAGCTGTACTCCAAATTTACACATCTAATTACAACAATTGCACATGTTTTGGTGCAGCAAGGACCTGGCCCTCTACAGCATTTGTACAATGTTTAAGGCTTATAATGATAAGTGAATTCAAATAAAACTTAACATTATGTGTAACTGGGAATGTCTAAAACGTAATGGGGAAACTGTCCACTCTGCACATTGTAAGAGGAGTGCTGTATTGAATTCAGCACGAGCAGATTTTTAATACAGTACACAATACTTTACAATCACAAAATGGAGAGCCCTGTGGAAATCCTTTACAATGATGTAAACAATGTTGTTCAAGTGCTTCCTAATTTATTTTTCCTTCTTTTTAAATAGAAGTCACACAATGTAGGAGTATTAAACTAGTATGAAAGGAGTACTACAAATACACGGCCAGAACTTTAGTGATAGTGCTTTCCACATCAGTATATGGTGACACTCAGTTCACCTTACGTAACCAAGTTTACACCACAGGACAGTGCAGAATCAAACCTTTACTCTGACCTGATGTACAACATACACTGTGTTCTGCATGCCTCTTGTGGCCTGGGTACAGCAATACATATTGCTAAAAATCAAGAGAAACCTGCAGAAGCAATTTACAGGTCAGCTGGAAGACATTCCGTCTCTTTCTGCCAAAACACTGAGACTTAACATCAGTAGCACATGTTTCTTAGATCAGGTTTTTCCTAAGATGCAAAGGCATTTTAGTTATTTACTGTCTGACTTTTGTAGTATTAAAATTAATATAAGCTAAGGTATTACAGCATGTTTGTTAACAGCAAATAGTCTATAGTGACCCCAGAATATAACTCCTGGTACTACAGCTACTACAGCAATTATTTACCATATCTATTTTATATAGCTTCAGTTTCTGATATAACCCTTTCTTTTTTAAACTCATAAATTTGTGGTAAGCAGAAATTCAATTTTCCCTGTCAAACACGATCTACAAAGCCAACAGTTTCTCAACTGAGATGCTGTATTTTCTTAAACTTAGTTTCCCCCTGCAGACCCCTTAGGAACTTTCCTTGCCATGCCATTAACTGCACTCTGGTCCAGCACCGGGTTCCTAATGCTGCAGGGAAACACTGAAGTGAACCAAAAGCGAAAGGAAATTAGTTTCACTTCATCTAACCAGAATACTGTGAGCAGGGACGAATGGTTCAGAAATCATGTTCCTTTCCCAATTCTCTAATCTTTAAATCTCCAGCTCTTAATCTGCAACACCCATATCCTTGTGTTCTTATTACACGGGAGGGGCAGAAGTAACCTATTCTCTGAATATAGACTGGGAGACATAAAGTGGCTTTTGAATATATTTTATCTGGAACAGAATCAAATTGTTCACCAGCAGAACTGACCAGAATTATGGGAAAAAAAGAGTATGAAATAAAATTATGGAAATTGTAGCTGGAACATCCCTTTTTAAAGCTACTTCAAAGCAGGGAATTAATGCCTGGAACAGACGACTCAGCCTAAGTCAAGCTCCTCGAGTTTGTGAAAGCAATACAATTCTCACAAGCAGCTTTTTTTTTTTCCTATAACATTCAAAGGCCTAAATTCTGAATTGTATTTCTGCAACAGATATCCCAGAAAGGAAAAAACCCCTAAGCCACAAGAAGGATCTGCTGTTCTAACTTAGTACACTATTGCTTTAAAAAGCTTGCAACCACACCTACTGAAGGGGATAAATATTTTCTGTGTGAAAATCTGAACAATTCATAATATGCACCTAAAATACAATGATGAAAGACCACCAATTTTAAAAGTATTGTGAAAAAATCTTGAGTTCTGTCTGGTACTTTAAGAAATGTACTTTTATAAAATAAACAAAGAAAATCTATTGACTGTAAACAAGCAAAGATTGTGACACAAAGGCAAAAAGCAAAATTTCCTTAGAAAACTGTAGTCTGTATATTGGATTTTTTCAGTATGACAGAAACAGACAGAAACACAAGCACAACTGTGATTGCAGTTGTTGTCTACTTACAAATGGAAACACCAGTTCTTTATTGCTGGAATAACTATTTTTGAAATTTCAGCTGTTAAAATCAATCTGTTTCTGTTCATTGTAAACCTCAGGAATACTTTCGCACATGAAAATAAAACTGTTCAGTGTGGTTGCCACAATATAGGCAGATGCTCCAACTTCATGCTCTAAATTTCTGAGAAGCAGCTAAGAGGAAAATAGGGAATTTCAGCATTTTCCTCAGTAAAGAGTTGTCTAAATAAGACAGAGACCAGTCAGTGATCATGTTATAGTGCCTGACCACTGGATTCATCCTTCAGAGGCTTCTTTCTAGATAAGCTGGCTGAGAGAGAGAAAACCTGGAGCCTTGCCCTCAGCAATGGTCAATACAAGAAGGCTGGACTGTCCAGCAAAGGTTCACTGAGAAGTCACAAACAAGACCGGACACCATTACAGAATTTGTTTTCTTTTTGAACAAATCTAGATTCCATTCCATCCCTGTACCGTAAAAGTAACTGCTATTCAACCTAATCTCTAGAGAAGAATAAAATACTGCAGCCATGAATACTGCAGGCCAATATTTGATCACTTTAAGCCACACATATGGGTATTTGAGTAAGCAGCTTTATTATTTTCTTTTTTCCTTTGTATTTAATACAGGCATTTTCCCTGAAGGCATGTATTGGAATTCCAAATTCCCTAACTTCCAGAGGAAGGGCTTACATTTTACTTTGATACAGCTTTATATTATTTTTGTTCTCAAACTCCATTTCTTGCAAGCAAAAAAAACCAAAAAACCTCAAGGGACTGGATGAGAATAACATTTCAAAGAACTGAAAAGTATGGAATAATCAACTATACTTTCTTTTTTAAGATCTGGTAGGGTAGAACTGGAGTTTGCAAAGAATTTATTCTCAGCGTAATAGGGGTCAAAGTATGAGTTTCTTCAGCCAAGAACATGGCTCTTTCAAACATGACATCTGACCTGGGGGCAGCACATAATGCTGGACAGGTCCCTGAGCCACTCCAGGACTTAAGTGTTTCATGTACCAGCACATACCAATCTGGATATTCTATGCACTCACAGAACAATAATGAGCTACAGAGAGAAGCAGCCGCTTACAGCCACAGCTGTGCAAGAGCTTTGGGAGCACCACAGGCTGCAAGAGAACAAAGCCAAAGTGTACAGAACAAGGTCTCTCTTGGGGATCCTGCTCACCACAGGCATACCCCACTTACAACTTCAAACCTTCACTTCATAGTATCACAGAATGGTTTGGGTTGGAAGGGACCTTAAAGGTCATCCAGTTCCACCCCCCCTGCCATGGGCAGGGACACCTTCCACTAGACCAGGTTGCTCAAAGCCTCATCGAGCCTGGCCTTGAACACTTCCAGGGGTGGGGCATCCACAGCTTCTCTGGGCAACCTGTGCCTGTGCCTCACCACCCTCTCCGGGAAGAACTTCTTCCTGATATCTAATCTAAACCTCCCCACTTCCAATTTAAACCCATTACCCCTTGTCCTGTCACTACAGGCCCTTGGAAAAGGTCCCCCCCAGCTTCCTTGTAGCCCCTTCAGGCACTGGAAGGTGCTATAAGGTCTCCCCGGAGCCTTCTCTTCTCCAGGCTGAACACCCCCAACTCTCTCAGCCTGTCCCCACAGCAGAGGTGCTCCAGCCCTCAGAGCATCTTTGTGGCCTCCTCTGAACTCGCTCCAACCAGTCTATATCCTTCTGATGTTGTGGGTTCCACAGCTGGATACAGTACTCCAGGTAGGGTCTCACAAGAGCAGAGTAGAGGGGCAGAATCACCTTACCATGCTCCTGAATTTCAAAAACTCCTGGAAGCACAGGCGCTGGCACTGACTAGGCTCTTGTCAGCAAAACGTAGCTGACTGGGGCTGAGCTGGCAGACTGGGGCTCTCACTGCCTGTGAGGGGAATTCTCATGGTTTAACCCCAGCTGGAAACCAAGCACCACACAGCCACTCACTGACTCCTCTTCCCTCAGTGGGACTGGGAGAATATTGGAAGGGTAAAAGTGAAAAAGAAACTCATAGGTAGAGATTAAAAAAAGCTTAATAACTACAAGCAAATAATAATAATTAAAACAATTGTTAGGAAAAGAGGGGGAAAAATAATAACAAAGAAAGAGAAAAATAAAACCCAAGAAAGACAAGTGATGCAAAAGAAAACAGCTGCTCACCATCAACTGACTGATGCCCAGCCAGTCACGGAGAAGTGGGCCATGCCAACCTACTCCCCAGCTTTATTGCTGAGCATGACGTCATCTGGTATGGAATTTCCCTTGGGTCAGTTGGTGCCAGCTGTCCCAGCTGTGTCCCCTCCCAACTTCTTGTGCATCCCCACAAAAAGTTGCTGGTGGGGTGCTGTAAGGGGCAGAAGAGGCCTTGATGGTGTGTAAGCACTGCTCCGCAACAACTAAAATATCAGTGTGTTATCAACACTATTTTCAGCACAAATCAAAAACACAGTCCCCCCACATTCTGAAGAAATTTAACTCTATCCCAGCTAAAACCAGTACAGGTATCCATGCTATAATTCAAGAAATAATCAGTGGGGAGAGACTGAGTAAGATCAGGAGCTGCCTCACTGCCAGCCTCACTCTGCAAAGATATAAGTCATGCCTGAACAGAAGTGGTTCACATAACACTGGCACATCCACTTTAGGTATATCCTTTGTTGGTATTCATTCTACTCATTAAGCAAAAATAAAATCAGATTAAGAACTTTTTATATCCTTCATATTCAGAATACCAGAAAGAGACTAAATACCAAATACTTTTGTGTATTTCTTATATTTTCATAAATTCTGTATGGAAAGCATAGCAATCTACCAAAGAAGCGCAACAGAAGAAATAATTCTTATATTAAATAACCATTAAGAAGCTAAAAGCACATCTGACAAAAAGCCTGAAGAATACAAATAGTTCAAAGATAAAGAGGAACTTGCAAATTTCTGTTTTAACTTCACACAATTATTTTGCATGACCCCTTCTAATTTCTCAAACAGATAAATCATATTTTATAGTGGTACTTAAAGAGTCTTCAGTCAAATATAAAAATTATATCCATAGCTGGACACTGAAATAATTCAGAAATTGTGTGGTGGAAATTAAATTATAAAACTGACTTGCTTCTAGAAAAATTCCGCTCTATCGAGAAATATTATGAACTACTTCCAATGAATGTAAATTTTTGAAAAAATTTAAGTAGAAATTATAGCACAAATAACTGAAATTGCTTGAAATTTCATCTGCAATACCAAATAATTCAGTCTCATTTTAGCGTACATTCACAATCCCTTGAAATAAGTGGTTTGCAAAAATAGTTTAGTGCTCCAGCTACCCACATCACAGCCTATCACCACCACAACTCCAGGTGAAAACCTGCAATTTAAGTGTAGTTTTTGAGAGTAAGGTGAAGAAGGCATGAAAAAGAAAGAAATTAATTTGTGGAAGAAGAAAGTCACCTAAACTGCTACACTACTACACAATCAGTTTCAAGAAGTGTTTAGCTTTTACAAAGAAACCAACGTTACCAATGTCATGAATCAAAATCAAGAAGTCATTCAATCATGCTGTGCTGATGTGAAACAACTGCTCAGGGCTACTTACCCTTTATTAACTCTTCATAGAATTGAGGTTCAATGGCACCAACGGCCATGAATTTTCCATCGGAGGTCTTGTAGGTTTCGTAAAAAGGTGCACCGCTATCTAGCAGGTTCTCACCTCGAGGTCTGTTCCAAAGTCCCAAATTTTGTGATTTCCACAGGAAAGAACTTAGGTATGCTACTCCTTCTACCTTAAAGATCCACAGGAAAAAATAATAGTTTCAGTAAATTAGCTGGCACATTACCTAAATTAACATAAAACAAAACAACAAAATACTACTACCAGTTCTGTTCTTTGTTAAGAATTTTAATGACAAAATCTCTGGTAAATAGTTTAATTTCTTAAAATTTTCAGTTATTGTTTATATTGCATATGTTAAATCCCCCAGAATTAGTGAACAGAGCATATATGTAATAATGCAGCTCCCGCTGGGTATTCCAACACATAAAGCTTCCTCATTTAGAGAGTTCATTATCATTAGGAGTTCACAAAGAGAATATAAGTACTTTTAGGTGATAGGACAAGCTTCCTGGCTCTATAGAATATTAAGTACCTGACAGACATCAAGCCTTCTAAACCTCTGGAAATCAAGATGCCTATACCAGTCCTGTTAATTTTCCAATTTTTCTCCACATTAACTTCTTTGAATTTACTGGTTATAAAAAGATTGCTACTTTTAGAAGAAAACTGGAAGGAAATTAAAGGTTAAAGCTGTGTTATACCCTGGGAACTGGGAAGGTCATCTCCATCACAAGTTAAAACAAAAATTATTGTCCCACTTCCATCACTGCAAGTACACAGACATAGCAAGGTAACCTCTAAATAGGCAAGTGTCTTGTGAGTACAGCACTAGAAAGCAGGATTAATCCTGTTCTAACTTGTTCCCTAACATTTTGGCTGTGTGGAGTATAACCAGATGAAAATTGAGTTTGTTAAGCCTTTCAGTAATATCAAGCTTGTATCAGTCTTTCCAAGCAAAATCCCATCCCAGAGTTTCGCTTACCAGCAGAATCCATTTTCTTCCAACTGCATTAGATAAACTGTTACAGAACATGAGGCAGTAACAGCATATGGCCAGAAACATTCCAGTGGAACAGAGAAAAACCCAAGCTGTATCATTTAGAGTATCATTTTGATTCATGCATTTTCAGCTCTGTAAAATTAACCTAATACTGTCTATAGAGAAAAGCACAGAGATTGAACCAAAATAAAAAGCTACTGAATTTTTATGTGGAAAGATCTATTTGTTTCTACCTTTCCAAGCAAGAATTTACAAAATGCCAAACTTTGAAGTATGCAGTCATGAAGGTTTCTTCATTTAATGTGTATTAGTTGGCCTCCTTCTCAATTACCTACCACGAAATCAGGAATACTTCTGCCATACCTGTCATATGTTAAAGTCAGTAAAAAAGTACTTTCCTATGAGAAAATACTCTACACTTTCATATACACGTTTGCAAGGATATCAAAACAATGTTTGCTTTTTTAATGATAAGATCTTGCACTGTTCATATTCACAAAAAAACATTGGAAATAAGGATAACAGTAAATGGTGGTAATGTTAGAATAAGCTCTGACAGCAAACTAGATTCTGGTGCTGACAGAACTACTTGCAATGCCTACATACAGTGCTACTTTCCCTGGAAACAAAATAAAAGAGCACATCTGTTTTGGACTGGTGAATGGACTTTAGAAATACCCCTGGCAGAGCAACTGGACAGCCACCTCCCGCCTGAGGCCCACTGCAATTCCAGACAAGTAAAAAGGTGTCCGAACATCTGCACCAAACCTCCAAAGGCAAGCTCAAGTGAACACCACACACTAACCTGGACACTTTCTTTCAAAACATGAAAAGGACAATGTGGGGAGATTCCAGTTAAACCTAACTGCAGAAAGATTACAGTAGGAGTTTTGTGTTTCACTTAATGGCTCCCTCACGCTAAAGGCATCAGCAGTCTCTAAAGCAGGGACAGGAATCCACAGGCACCACCCCTCCGGGTGACCTGTCTGCCCCACAAGTCTTCTGTTCCTTCTGCAGAGTGAAACAGTTCAAACAAAACTGAGAATGAATCCACACCAACCTAATCTTTACCCTCGTGACTGATGACTGCCTCTAGGATGTGGGAGTTTTGGTTTCGAATACCTCCAGGCTGAGAAAAATCTGTCTTCTGCTGGACAGCTAAATACTCTTGCCATGAGACTGTTATGCAAGTGGTCATTACCACCATCCTCTCCTGTGGCTGTCTTTCCACAAAGGGTGAGTCATGCCTGGTCAGATGCCTACCACCAGCAGAAGGCTCTGTGTCTGAAGGCAGCGAGAACCTGAAGGGTGGCCCTGACTCACACGCCTCTACCCCAGTGCCGTGCAAGAGTGCAGAGGTACAACTGTGCCTCCCGTCTCCTATCACCGTGTCCACTCCGCATCCTACTCAGCACAGGGGCGCATCAGGCTCCCTGCATGATACCTATGACCCCTACAGAGTCAATGAGAAGAGACAGCAATTAGCACGAATGGATTCAGACCAGGCATTTAATTCTTCTGAGGTAGGCAGCTGAAATGCAGGACCCAGCGCCTGCTTTTCACGCAGCACAACAGTAACACTGGACACTGTGAACAGGTGATGCAGATCCAGCCCTCGGCCTGATCCCATCTACCCCCTTTTTGTATCCATTTAGTTTCACTAGAGGAGTTCCTCATGTGTATATTAACGACCCTAAGAATGCTCCCAAAATGTTTTTCAGCTTTCAGCACAGCGATTAGAAATAAAAGACAAGTAACAAATTCTTCTGTCACAGAAATTTAGATCTCAGCATAGAATTACTAACCTCGAAGACAAGGAATGATTGATTTTTTTAGACTGCTTCAGAAAATAGACATTGCAATAAAAGGAAAAAAAACAAACAAGTGGTCAGTAAAATAATCCATGAAGAAAGATGAAAACTTAAAAAAATTAATCCTTAGGACACAAAGCTGCTAAAAAATAAATTTTCCCTCTTCTACCACAGAAAATTCCACCATGTGTCATTTCTTAACATGTTCAGAGTACTTAAACTGTACAACAACTTAAGTAATAGGCCTATTAAATAAAAAAAAAGTAAAATCAAAATGACAGATGAAATGCTGCAGTATCATAATTTTAAAAACAGCTACTTCCATGAAATAAACTTAGATATAAAAACAGGCTCATCAAATCCTTGCTGTCAATGATGCATGTATGTTTTTCATCAACTGTCTCACTGAAAGTCTGTTCAAGGGAAAGGAACATAACAAAGTGCCAGATGAAGTACATTCAGTGATACTGGACAATATTCCATCCATTTCACAGGACACCAGGAACATCAGCATGGAGCTGTAAATTCCACAGTTATAATGAGACAAGAAAAAAATGAAAGAGAAAAGTTTTGAGGGCTTAAAAAAAAAACAAAAAAAAACCCAACTCAAAAAAAGACAGAACACATTGCATTCCCAGTGAGCCAGAGATCTCATTAGGACATTAACCAACTTACAGTGATTCTTCTCATTATAAATTCTTTTAATGACTTAAGGTACCAATAGTGAAAATAAGGTAGTATTCTTAAGCTACAAGAAATGCATTTTTAAATATTTGAAGACTTGTCACAATTCTCCATAGTTTTTGCTTCACAAATATACAAACTCGAAGCTTCAATTTTCCTTTCTAGGTCACGGTTGTAGACTCACATCATCTTTGTTGTGTTTCTCAGACCTCCTGAAACTGGTAATTTTTTTGGAAAGATGATGGCCAGTGTCAGAAACAGTATTTTCCTAAAGCCTTACAAATGTTGAATAGATTAGAAGAACTACTTTAGGAACTTTGCTGGCTCTATTTCCTGTTTATACACCCTAAGACAGCGTGTGTGTGTTTTACAACAGCATGATATTGTTGACTCATGTTCAGCTTGTGACTACTACAAACCCCCAGGATTGTACTTTAGCCAATTGTTCTCATATTGCATTTGTGCCGCTAATTGTTTCTTCCTAGGAGAACTACAGAGCAGTGGTCTCTGTGAATTTCAGCCAATTTTTTCCAGGTCACTTCTCCAATCTGAAAAGGTCATTTTCAATTCTAATCCAAGTGTCCAACGTACTTGTATTTCTTCCCACACGGATCTCATTTGTAAATTTACCAAACGCAATCACTCATTCATCATAATGCAGAAAACACTGAAAAAAAACCCCAACAGATGTCTGTAGAATTCCAGTTGATAAATTTTTCATTTTGGTGATCAACTACTAATAACTATTTTAAGACCAGTTCTGCACTGATCCCACAGAATTTTCACCCAGACCATAATGCCATGACCTGGTTCTCAGAATGTCATGTGAATTTGTCAAAACCTTACTCAAGATAGCTAACATCTCCTGCTCTTCTATCTTCAAGACTTCTTCAACAAAGGATTTTTTTTCAATTAACATGGGGTTTTGCTATTTTTTATTTAAGTCCAAATCATAGCCTTCGCTGGGTCACAACACCTCGAAGGGAGACGAAATTTTAATTGCAATGCTCTTTAGAAGGAAAAACAGAAAAAGAGACAGAGAGCAAAAAAAACACTTGCAGATAATATAGTTTTCAAGGGTAAATGTAAATACATATCTTTCCTCTGTGTGTAAGTGGGTGGCCTTGCAGTGAAAAAATCCAGAGTATTCATTAAGCTAATTTAGCCTTTAATTTCTTTTACGGCACATTAACACAAAGTGTTTGACTTCTTGGCAATAATCCATGGCAGTGTAATTATTCGAGGGAACAGTACTTCTAGTAAGACATGGTCTGTCACAAACTCACAAGGAGATGTATCTTGGATAAAGCTAATGCAATTCTTTATTTCATTAGGATCATCATTTTTGCTGTTATGCATGATGTTGTTTATTATACAATCTATTTCCATTCAACAAACTTACTCATCAGATATATACAGCTAATATTTTGTGAAGAAAGCAGACTGCTAAAAGGAAAGATAGAGAATGACACAGAGGGAAAGCCACAGTACATGTCCCATGTCATAAAGATGTTATGGAACAGTGATATTTGACAACTGCTTGCACAAGAAGGAATAGACATTTTATGGAATACCTCTTTTCCCGATTTCTCAACTGTAAAACTTATTAAGAGCTCAAATTTCCTCCCTTTTACAGACTTAGAGTAGGGAAAAAAACGAACAATGAAGCCTAAGAAACCACACCCTCCTTGAGACCAAACTTACCATACTTGCATCAATGATCTGCCCTTTGCCAGATCTGGTACGTTCATACAGGGCTGTAATAATGCCCATTGCACACATGACACCTCCACCAGCAAAATCAGCCAGGAGATTTACGGGTGCATAAGGGTTTTCATCTTTTCTACCCAGCTTTGACAGCACACCTGACAGAGAAAACAAAGCAAACATAAGTATAGAATTCACTATAAACATCCAGTTCTACAGTGAAAGTTTCATTCTTTTCAGTCTGTGCAAGTAAACCAGGACAAATCAAACTTCTACCAACAGTCTTCTGTCTCTACTCAGCTGTGTCAGCAAATAGTTACTCTTTAATTCACAAAAGAATAGAATATAGCAAATCATATTAGTGATGATGCAATTAATTAGAGATTAGTAAAAGTCTCACAGATAAACCATTAATAACTTGGCTACACAGGGATAAAAATCCATCTAAAAAAACTTGTGTGCAATAATTCTGTATTAGTACTCTGTACACGCACAGAACCTCCCCTGTAGGAATTCAATAGGCACAGTGAACGTGTCTCAAAGCAACGTGGGTAAACTGTTTTTCTCTGAATCCTTTAAAGGAAAATTGCAGATGTACAGTCTTCTGTGTACATGACCCACAAATTAATAATCATAACAAAGGATTTCACAGTGACAACTGCACATCAGTCCTATCCTCCCTCTTCAATTACATTAGTGAAAAAAAAGTAGTGTTTGCAGGTGAGTAACAGAGAAAGGTTCCCTCCGACTGCATGCAACACTGACACGAGGAACCTATGTTTATGCCAGAAATTATGCAGAAATGAAAGGGAATAGAGCAAAGGCTGAGCCAGTTTACTTCAGAAGGAGCTTTGATTCTGTTACCATTTCTCTGTCATCCTGAACAACCTCTTTATTGTCACCTTACTCTTTGTAGTTCCCTCACAGCGATCCCCTTTGGGCAAGCAAGAGACTCTGCTGTGTGATCATCTCTCTGCTACGCCTGTGGCCTCAGATCTGAGACTTGCAGCATATACGGTCAAAATACCCCGAGAGCTGCATGGTTCTGATGCACTGTTTAGTTAACTCATGGTTTAATGCACTTCCTAAGTGCAAGCAACTGAGTGCACAGTGTAAAGAAGTTCCCAAAGCCTGTAGTGCAGGCATAAAGCCCTGTCGTTGACTAACACCTCACTTTTAACAGTCAGGGTCGTCACAGGCACCAGCAAATTAACATATCAACTTATATCTGCAGTTTCTAATGCAAGACATTTTTTATTTAAGGAAAGCCAAAGCTCATCAGGAAAATACTCAGGATATGAAATCTTATTTTTGAGGAATGATACCTCTCAAACACCTTGTCCTATTTCCTTTAAATGAGCAGAAGAACTTGCCCTGTTAAATTTTAAGCCAAATTATTTAATTTTAGGAAGATAGCACTAACCAAAATATACTGATTACATCAGCCCCAGAGAAAAAAAAAAAACACCACTTATTTTTTTATACAATCTAAGGTAGCATTGTTTCTGCACTGACTCCTCACCTATCCTAATAACAATAAAAATATCATAATACTTGGAAATCATCTGGATGTGAAGTCAAAAGTGTTTCAGATGAGGCATCCTTTCTTCGCTCTTTGTTATTCTCTGACAATCTTAATGAGAGAGGACTTCATTCATACCTAAAGAAACTTAATTGCACAACACAATGACTCTGCACAGAAGGTGGCACCGGGTGGCCACATTTTCAGTGCCTCTGCTCTGGCCTTTTCCTGGGCTAAAAGAAATGCTTTATGCAGTGGGAAGCCAAGAAGTTTTGTGGCACTTTCTCTCCTCCCTCCCAGGCTCGGAGAGGCAGCAGAGACAGCAGCAGCATGAACACCAGTTGGTGGGGCCATGCACGAATCCACCAGAGCTGGGTAATTTTGTTGTCTGTTACTGCACACTTGTAGAAACCTGACACTTAAAAAACAGCACACTGGTTACACCACCTTAAGGAAACATAGCATCCTCACTTTATTTTAAGCCTATTTTCCTTTAGGTTGATATCAGTGGAGAGGTATTTACCGCAGAAAAGCAAAAGGAACTTAAATGGCTTAGGCTGCCAAGTTTTTCTTCACACACAACAAGCTACTCAAACATGCGAAACAATCTGCAGCCCTTTGGGGATTATACACATACAGGTTTCCTAAGAGCGAGGACCTGAAGAAAGAAGAAAACGTATAAAAACTCCAGTCCCCTCTTCCAAGAGAGAAACTTTATTCAGATAAAACAGCACAAGGGAAGGAAAATACGGTACAGCCTGAGACGATATGCTGATCCAGCCTAACCACTCGCTGCTGCTGCCAAAACGAACAGCCCGTCTAGCCCATGTCTCCTCCTTTCTTCTGCTGACTTTTTATGTTTGTTGGATCCCTTAATGAACTGCTTCACCTCAATAACCTGGCAGAAAAACATCCTCATTTCTCCTAGACAGTTTTGACTTGTGAGGGAGCTTACAGCGGGCTTAAGCAAGCGCCAGAGACGACTGGAGAGACAGGAGCAGGGAGATGCACACAGAAAGGGAAGAAAAGCCTCCTTTCACTGGAAGAGACGCTTCAGATCTGTTCAGCTGTTTCATCAAACTGCACCTCAGATAATTTGAGCTATCTGAAAATAACCTTTCAATAAATTCTTGAGTCTTTATTTAAAGTGGGAAAAAACCTTATTTGACACGAAATTTTACAGCCTACCTGATATAGCTAAATAATTGATGTCATGACCTGCAGACTTGGCATATTTTCCTGACTGGCCAAATCCAGTAAGTCTAGCATAGATGAGTCTGGGATTCTCCTGCAGAAGGACCTCTGGACCAAGCCCAAGTTTCTCCATGACGCCTTAAAAAGACAAAGCCACAGAATCCTAATAATTCACGTTTATGTTTAATTTCAAAATACACATGGTTCAAAGTTAAATTACACAAGAGCATAACTGAATTGCAATTTATGAAGTAATACATTCTAATTCACTATCCATATTACAATGTGAACAGCCATAATGTTATAAATTACCAACATACTGCATACATTTTGAATATAAACAAATTAAGTGGAAATTAAGCTTTCTTTTTTTTCCACCTTTTTTTCTGTTTTATGTCCCCAAAAGACTGGCAGTCAGCTTGCTGTAATCCACGTACTGTTGAATGAGAAAGCTACCAAAAGCTTGTAAAAAACAAACAAAAAAACCTACAACCAAACAAAAAAGAGAAAGACCAAGGCCTTACACTTTATCACATTAAAATGTGGTATCTTAGGCTTTGTCAGATTAAAATGATGTGAAATTGCTTCCATCTTTCACTGGTTTCCTCACCATATCAGCCTCTTAGTACCCCATGTGTTCCTGTGTTTTTAACTCACTGATACCCCTATTCCACAAACGACTTGCGACATAATGCACAAAAGAAAATTTGTTCTATTGTAATGCAAAGAATAAGGAACTTTCAGAAATCAATGAAATATCGGTTTGGTCAGCATGGGTTTACAGTAATCGAGGCTAAAATTCTGATCTTGCAGTTCTAAAATACTGGTTTTAAAAGAAGCAAATTCGAGTTGCAAATAAATGATAGATTTCTATTGGCTCAGTGCATCTTGATCAGACTATACCCTATAATCTATACTGGCACTGCAGGGAGACACATTTTGAAGGGGTAGGATAACTTCAATGCCTACGCTGCCCCAGAATCTATTACTGCAACTTGTTTCACAGACTACTCCATAATACTACTAAATCTTCAAATTCCTTAAGACCTATTTCTATAGTACTACTTACTGTGATTAACACTAAGGAGAAAGCAGTAAAATTCTGTAAAGGGTAAGATTTTCACAAGCACAAGTGAGAAGTGGGTGTGAAATAACTCCTGGTGTGACTAAGTCATTGTCAGAAGGTCAATGGCACATGTGTGTTTAAAGAAACTCTCCTGCTACTTAGGCCCTCATCTTCTCATTCGTTCACACCAGCTTCATGCTGGATCACAGATTGGCCTTGTTCAATTACAGGCCCGTAAAACCTAATGTCTAGTTATAAAATTACCTGCATTTCCGGACACACACACAAAAAAAGCAGCACAAGTGCCCATAAAAGCAAAGAAAGCAGAAATTTGCATGATAAGAAAATCCCACTAGAAAATACAGAACTAGCTACAATGAAAAACAGAGTTTAATGTCTTAATTTTGTTTACACAGGTCCTGAGGAACAAAAATTACAATCATAAACCCGTTTTCAGAATGAAAAACGTTATCCATGACAAAAGATATGTAAGCCTGCTTATGATACAGCCTTCTAAACTGACTGCAGAAACCCCAAAACACTCGAGGCAGTTCCACAGAAGCATGATCACAAAATCACAGAATGGTTTGGGTTGGAATGGCCCTTTAAAGGCCATCTAGTCCACCCCCCTGCACTGATGAGGCGGAACATCACTAGAACAGGTTGCTCAGAGCCCTGAGCCTGGCCTTGATGATACTCTTCGTAACAGTAGAGCATCCCCCCGGAGCAGCAGGGATACTGAAATGGGCTCGCATGAGCATCAGATAAGTTCCTGTGTGTGGCTTATGGATGAAGACAGCGTGTTAGATCTGCTGTCTTCAAAGGAACCATGAGGAATCTGAGAGCTCTGAGACTCGGACTGCTACCTGCTTCGCCTTACCCACGTGCTAATCTCACAAACGTGAGCTGAAGTGTACCAGCAGGTCAGAAAATCACCCCACGACTGATGCCCAAGCTCATGCATGACTCCTCGGCTCAGACGGGTGAGACGAAAGGCTGGACATGAGCTGGCAGT